AGGATCAAAGTATGACCCAAGTGTTAGGTTACAGCGCAGGGATCATTCCTGCTAATAGTGATCTGCGAGTTTAGTGCAAGAACGCATGATCGCACCGGAGAGCCTGGCGCGTTCCAGCCTGGGTTTTTATGCGTTTTTGCATAATATGCAAATGCGAAAACGCATATTGCGATGACCCCGGTGTGTGTATGTGTGTGTGTGTGTGTGTGTCCAGGTATTTCAGCTCGGCACCTGGGCAAGTGATGGCCAAAGTCAGATAGGGGCAGCGGTGCAATTATGGAATGCTCCTCCTTTGGGAGCTTGTGTAAATCCTCAAATTATGAAGTAATTTTAATGCACAGAATGTTTGCATTTCAGTAAAGATGTGCGCCTCCCGATACAACTGCAGCGAGCTATGGCCGCAGAAGCAGAAGCAACTCGTGAAGCTAGAGCTAAGGTTTCTTCTCCATTCTTACAGAACCGCTCCAGAAAAGCGTTTAGATCAAAGATGAAGACAGGATTATGCGGGTGCAAAAGACGATTTCCGTCCTCCAAAGTTTTCGGGTTTTGCGATATAAATTTTCAAATACTAGCAATCAAAAAAAAACTGTCAAATTAAGCGCTTCACAGTCAGAACAGTGGCGTTGCCGCAACGTTTGTTATTTCCACCAGTTTTATCATTTGTTTCAGTGTCTAAATTTAACATTCCGTTACTCTTGGCTAACAACTTGTAAATTTATAGGTGATCGCAGCAGAGGGTGAGCAGAAGGCTTCACATTCGCTGCAGGAAGCAGCAATCATCATATCGGAATCGCCAGCAGCACTGCAACTACGTTATCTGCAGACCCTCAGTAGTGTCGCGTAAGATTTTTGTTTATGCTAAAAAGCACTGTAGTCTGCTTATTGATTTCTTCCGTAAAATTTTAATTTTAAAGTTTAATTTATTTTTAATAACTTACAACAAGCATATAATGTTTTAAATGCAAGCGCGGGCTTAGCTCAAAAATAAAGGCCCACCTTGGGAGCTGCCTGTGCGTATCTCCAGAATATCCCCCAACTCCCAGGTTTTCTCTCCATTCACATAGTGACCAAGATACCTCTTCAGCCCCGTAAACAAACAAGCATTTACTCAAAAAAAAAAAAAAAAACACTCAATGCAGTACAAAATTCTGTGCGGTCTTTGATATCCTCCTACACAAAATACAAAACACGAAACACAGTTTCGGCTACTGCGGCGTATTTCTGACGACCCTGATGCATCGCTGACGGCACGAGCGACAGTGCTTGTGTAACTAGCCCGATCTGCCTTACATAGGCTCAATTTTTCACAACATGCCAGATCGGAATTTTGACAAAAAAGCAACCATATTCGGTATGAATATTTAATGCTGTTGGATGTTACTGTGATATTCGCACACGCCTGATGCAGCCGTGCCATTAAATGAAAGGAAGCAGAAACGTGAGACATAGGCGTACATGAAACTGGATTTCACTTTTTTAAAAGAATACATGCTTAGCTTTACACTTTGTCTGGCTGCTATTTTCAGTGATTTTGCATTTTAAAGTTCCACACGTCTGCACCTAACACTTAACTGTGCTTGAAAGCTGAATTCATCTTTTATTGGGCATCTCTCTAAAATTCTGGCTTTCTTGCTGGCCTTTATCTAATTCGAA